GCCTATGTACCTAGGATTAAGCTTCCCACGCTTACCGAAGCGTATCAAGCCTTTCCAGGGTGAGACTTTGAGAAGGACTCGGTCTCCCACCTGAAATTCCAAAGGTTTTCTGCGTTTATCAGCGTAGCTCTTTGTCGGTCTCTAGAGGCTTTCAATCGTTCACGAATCTGAACGATCTTCTCTGTCGTTTCCCGAATGATTTCCGGACCAGTGAGAGTACTGTCGGAAGCTTGCCCTCTAGCTAATTGGGTATCACCCACCTCAGCCCAGCACAGAGGGGATCTGCACTTTCGGCCGTAGAGAGCTTCAAATGGTGCTGCTTTTATGCTCGTGTGATAACTGTTGTTGTAGGAAAATTCGAAGGGGTAAATGAGTATCCCACGCTTTTCCAAAGTCAATTACACAAGCACGCAACATATCTTCTAAAGTCTGGATGTCCTCTCACTCTGTCCGTCAGTCTGTGGATGGTAGGCTGTGCTCATGTCCAGCCTTGTTCCTAGGGAATGTTGCAGTGATTGCCAGAATCTTGAGGTGAACCTACTATCTCGATCGGAGATAATGGATATAGGTACACCATGTAGTCGTACGATTTCCCTAATGTATGTTCTCGTAAGTTTCTCCATCTTGTCGGTTTCTTTGATAGGCAGGAAGTGTGCAGACTTGGTCAATCTATCAACGATGACCCATATGGTATCAAGTCCACCCGTTGTCTTGGGCAACTTGGTTATGAAATCCATAGTGATCCGCTCCCACTTCCATTCTGGAATCTCTGGTTGTTGCAGTAAACCAGAGGGCTTCTGGTACTCGACCTTTACCTTTGCGCAAGTAAGGCATTTACTTACGAAGGTAGCAATCTCTGCTTTCATATTAGGCCACCAGTATAGCTTTTTAAGATCCAGATACATCTTATCTGAACCTGGGTGGACGGAATACCGAGTGTTGTGCGCCTCGGTCATGACTAAGTCTCGGAAACCACCGTGTTTCGGTGTCCAGATCCGATCCATGAAGTATAAGGCTCCGTCACCCTTGGCTTCTAAACTCTTGTCCATTCCTCTAAGGGATTCACTCGTCACATTTTCAGGTTTCATGGCTTCAAGTTGGGCCGCCTGAATTTGGTTAGACAAGTGTGAATGGATGGTTATTGATAATGACTTGACCTTGCGACCAGAATATTCTTTCCGACTCAGGGCGTCTGCTACTACGTTGGCTTTACCCGGATGATAACGAATATCGCATTCGTAATCACTGAGTAGCTCGACCCACCGTCGTTGTCTCATGTTGAGCTCCTTCTGATCGAATATGTGTTGTAAACTCTTGTGGTCGGTAAAGATAGTGCTCTTCGTTCCATACAAGTAATGTCTCCAGATCTTCAGAGCAAACACCACTGCTCCCAGTTCAAGATCGTGTGTCGTATAGTTAACTTCGTGTGTCTTCAACTGTCGGGAGGCGTAGGCGATGACCTTACCTCGTTGCATCAGAACACACCCGAGCCCTTGGTTCGATGCATCGCAATAGACTACGAAGTCTTCTATCCCTTCGGGGAGAGATAGTATTGGCGCGGTGCACAAGGCTCGTTTGAGCGTTTGGAACGCTCTTTCTTGTTTCTCTTCCCAGTCAAAGGCCACGCCTTTCTGGGTCAGGGTTGTAAGAGGTTTCGCTATTCGGGAGAAGTTTTGAATGAATCTGCGGTAGTAACCAGCAAGACCTAGAAATTGACGAATTTCTGTCGGCGTCTTCGGTGCTGACCAGTTCTCAATGGCTTTAATTTTGGATGGGTCCACGTGGATTCCCTCTTCGCTTACCACGTGTCCTAAGAATTCGACTCTTCGGATCCAAAATTCACATTTCGAGAACTTCGCATAGAGTTTCTCCATTCGTAAAGTTCCTAAAACTAGTCGGAGGTGATCGCCATGCTCTTCCTTACTTCGGGAGTAGATCAGGATGTCGTCAATGAAAACGATGACGAACTGATCCAAGTAAGGTCGGCATACTCTGTTCATCAGGTCCATGAAAACTGCTGGCGTTGGTCAATCCGAATGGCATCACCACGAACTCGTAGTGTCCGTAACGAGTTCGGAAGGCTGTCTTTGGAACATCCTCCTCTAGCACTCGTAACTGGTGATATCCGGATCTTAGATCAATTTTGGAGAAATAGTTCGCCCCTTGCAGTTGGTCAAATAGATCGTCTATGCGAGGTAGAGGTAACGATTTTTGACCGTCAGTTTGTTGAGTTCTCTGTAGTCGATACACATACGGAATGATCCGTCTTTCTTCTTAACGAACAAGACCGGTGCTCCCCAAGGTGAGAAGCTTGGTCTTATGAAGCCCTTGCTGAGTAGTTCGTTAAGTTGACCAGATAATTCCTGCATCTCTGCTGGTGCTAATCGGTAGGGCGACTTGGCTACTGGGGTAGCTCCTAGGACTAAGTCGATACGGAACTCGACCTGTCGTTGCGGAGGTAATCCAGGTAGTTCTTCTGGGAAAATGTCGGGAAAGTCGCTCACTACTGGAATGTTCTTGAGTTCTTTCGTTTCGAGGTTTGTGTCGACGACGTGAGCAAGGAATGCGTGGTATTCTTTGCGCAGATATTTCTGTGCTTGAATACTTGATATAATGCGAAGACTCGCACCAGGTTTGTCGCCGTAGACTATAAGAGTTTCGTTAGACGGAAGGTTTAGTCGGACTGCTTTCTCGAAGCACATGATGTCGGCGCGATGAAGACTCAACCAATCCATGCCGATGATGACGTCGAAACTTTTTATTGAGACCGGCATGAGGTCGATTGGGAATGAATGGTTATCTAGGGTTAGGATACATCCTAAGTATATGCTACTGGTGTTTTCTGTTTTGCCGTTAGCCATTTCTACTGTGAATTGTTCTTTAAGTGCGTGTGGTTGTGGTTTAAGCATGCGAGCAAATTTGTGGTTCACGAAGCTTCGCTCCGCTCCACTATCGAACAGAATGCATGCATAGGAGTTATCGAGGAGGAACGTACCAGTCACCACTGTCGGGTCAGCGACTGCTTCCCCGTGGCCTATAGCTAGTACCCTCCCTGCTCCTCCAGCATTTCTCGCTTTAGGGCAGTCCCTCTTATAGTGGCCTGTTTCGCCACATCCATAGCAAGTTGGGCTCGCGCCAGAGCCAGGGACTTGCGTGATCGGTTGCACCGGGAATTTACAGAAACGGACGGTGTGTCCTTTCCTGTTGCAGTTAGAGCACTGCATTTCACGGCAGGGGCCGTTGTGGTGGAAGTTGCATTTGTTGCACTTCGGCAAACTTCCAGCATACTGCTTCGTTGGTGCAGTAGCAGCAGGGGTTACTGCGGCATGTACAGCCACAATTTGCTGCTTCTTGGCAGCTCGCTGCCTTTTCTTGTCATCCCAGAACTTCCGCTTGGAGTCAGCGGGTTTGGATGGTTCTGAGATGGCTAGGGTTGTTGTGGTTGTAGGGGTTTTGACACCATGGTCAATGAGCCGCTGTGCCAGTCGCTTGGCACTGTCGAAGGTAGCAGGGTTGGATGCTAAGACATTCCCCTGGTAAGGAGGCACTAGCCCCCATACATACCTTTCAATCTTCTTCCCTTCAGTGGGAACCATGTTAGGGCAGAGGGCCACCAGTTCGCTAAACCGGGCAGTGTAAGCGATAATGTTGGTGCCCTTCATGGTCAGGCTCCAAAGCTCCTGTTCCAATTTCTGGATCTCGCCCCTCGGGCAGTATTCCTCAATCATGAGGTCTTTCATCGTATCCCAGCCTATGTCGTTGGCCACGACGAGAGTTAGAGATTTAACGTGGCTGTTCCACCACGTCAGTGCCTTCCCTTCGAAGGTGCATGCGGCATATTTGACTTTGCACGCAGCAGGGCAAGAACAAATTTCGAAGACGATTCAGTCTTCTCGAACCATTGCGAAAGAGCAATGACTCCGCCGGTCCCATGAAAGGGTTTCGGCTTACAGTTGGTGAAATCCTTGTAAGAGCACTCTCTCGAGCGCACAGGAGTTTCAACCGGAATGGAGTTAACCGGGGTTCCACCTCTGCTAGCATCTGATGAGTGATACTGAGCCATGGCAGTTGCCACTGCTGCAGCTACGGCAGCGTTCAGAGCTGCAGTATCGATGACCGCAGGTGGAGGAGGCGGTGGAGGTACAGGATTATTCCTAGTCCTGGGAGATTTACGAGGAGGCATCTTTCAACTATAAGTTTATAAAGATGAGAAAAGTGGTAAGAATCAATTTGTGAGTAATGTGCGAATGACACATGGACTAACTAACCATAGCCCAACAATTGAATAAGTGTTTGTGTTCACAACTAGAAAGATGTGTAGGGAAATCCAAATGTAAAGATTTATCCCACAGAGTAGGTAGTTGTCAATAATACTGGTATTACTGATGTAACGAGTTCAATGAAAATTGACCTAACAG